GCCATCGACGCCGGTACTCCAGCTCGGCGAGAGGCGTACGCGGCATCGACGTGGGAGCCTGCCTGCCGCGTCTGTACCCGCGGTAAGTTTGAACTAAGGTACTTTGAATTCAGCTACGTTATTAACGTAGCTGAATTTGCGTACCTTAGTTCGAAGTGGGGGTTTAGTGTGGACCAGGCCTTAGTATAGACCTGGCCTAAGGTTTCTTAAATAAAACTAATTGTCTTCTAGCTGTCCACAGTATTTAACTTAAAATTTTATAGTTAACTGTTTTCTTCCATATTGTTGTTGTTATGGGAAGTATGAATGTAAATTCATATTATGGCAACTTAAACTTCTTCCAATAAATACTTTCTCCATATTTTCTCTTTAGGTCTCCTGGTTGCCTACTGTCGAAGATTTGATATTCAGACAAGATCGTCTTCTGTATATTATGTTTCCTGCACCATAGGTAAATAATTTTAATACAGTATTTTGGCAAAGTGTATTTTTCTGTAAGCTGCTTTTGTGAGATTACTAGATCATTTTCTTCAATTTTACAAAAATGAATACTGCCAATATTTTAATCTCTAATTTTGTTTTACTTGTCTGTATCCAAGTTGCATCGTTATAGAAATCAGTACTCTTGAAAACGTCAATGAATATTTAAAGCGCACTGAAATTACTATTATTGCACATTTACATAATCAAATGGAAAATACTGTAATAGCTATAGTATTAAGTCCTGTATGCAAGGGATATCTGTAATACATTGAGTGATGTAGTGCTGTATACTATTCAGTAGCTGTCCTGAATTTTTTTTTAATAGCTTATGCCGTTGGCATGGTGTTGACTTTTGTTGTTCTGGCACTGATGAAGATGGGACAGCCAGCCCTTCTCTATTTGGTACCGTGTACACTCATTACCAGCTCACTTGTTGCCTGGAGACGCAAGGAGATGAAGAAGTTTTGGCAAGGTAGCAGCTATCAGGTAAGTAGAATACATTCAGATAGTCAAAACAGTTTTGTAACTTCGTGTGTATTCTTCCTTAAATAAGTAAGTATGTGGTAATATATTAGTAGTCAGTCACTTTACATCTGTATTAGTAGTGCTTATTGCGTTTCTAAAAAAAAAAAATAAAGAAGCCTTTTGTAGAAGTTAAGTATATTTTAGTCTATAAGTCAACTTAATAGAACAAGATTTAAAGGAAAATACAGATATTTGGCTCAGTCCAGTAATATGAAAAATCAAAACAGATGACATTTTTCACATGACTACAATAGGAATTGTGCCAGAATGTGTATTATCTTCAGTATCTCTGAACCATCATCTTGATGCAAAGTGTTATCATTTGGAACACTGAATATGGCACTTAAATGTTAAATTGGAAACCAGTTTCCAGGCTGCAATAGTTTTGTACTAGAATACACTTGAAAAAAAATTGGAAACATATTAGAGTTGGTTTGACCAGTAGTTTAGAAACTAATTTCTAATGTTTTCTGCATTGGTCTTATGCTGTCATGATCACAAATGCCATTCTGCAACAAAGTGACCATTTGTGAGTGGGGGCTTAGAAATATCAATTACAATCAAAAACTTCTGTCTTACTGTGACAGCACAAAGCAGTTGTAAACTGGCACTTTGAGGATTTCCCCTGCCTAAATTGATCCTTTCTTGGGTGGTGAGAATGTCTCTGACCCTGCAATCTCTTGGGAGCTGTTGGCAGCTAGCATATATAAAAGGAGCCTTGATGTTACTCTGATTTATTCTGGGAACTGGCTCAGCAGTAGGACAATCCAAGAATACTGGGAGAACTTAAAGGTGTCTTAAAGCCGTCTTTGTATCTCCTTCCACTGAGTTGTGTGATAGCTCGGCCAGATTATGGACCACTGTTTTCAAGAACAATTGATTTATGGCAAGAGAAGTTGCTCTTAACTTTCAGATAGCTGTGTTAAGGAAAGCAGGAAGAATTTTGTTGTTGTTGTTGCTAATATTGGATGACACTCATCCAGATGTAGAGAGGTTACTTCCATGCCAGGTCAGCTCTACGTTGCCTGTCTGCAATGTAGAGAGCAATAATTCTACACCAGCTTCATTTAACGTGGTGTGTATATTCTGGGTGCTGGGGGGAGGGAAGAAGTAACATCTCCTCACATAAATCCACTGGGTAGAAGTGCCTCATGACGGTGTGGTGGGATTTTGCTCAGTACTCCAATGTATAGGCTGAAATAGGCTATGGAGAAACTGCATGGCCAGCCTGAATACATACTTATGTATGTACTTGCTCTCCCCACTCCTGTGGAGTTCCTTGTACAAAGCCCAATTGCGTAGGTTGCCTCTGGGAGTAGAGAGTTATAGTTAACTTCATTCCGAGAGAACAATATAATGTTCCTCGCTTAAATTGTTAGTATGTTTGGTCTAAAAACTTCTAGTTTTTTAGTTACCAAAATTTTTTCTCACACTTCCTCTAACAAAATTCATATTTATGTTGCCATGGTAATTATTTTATGTGCTTTTTCAACTGTGGGGTTTGTTTTGTTTTTTGTTTTGTTTTTAAGGATTAAAACTGCTCTGAACTTGGCCCTATTATTGGGTCAAAGTTTGGCACAAAAAAAAATTTGATTTATGTATTGGAGATTTGGCTGAGATTTAAACATTCTGTGTGATCTTAATGAGACATTTACTCAATTTCTTCTGTACAGTTTTAGGATTTCTTTGCCTTTATTTCACCCAATTTATTTTTTTCAGAGGATCTTATTCAATGCATCTTCAGATTCAGAGAATCCTGTATATCTCAGATCTTTATTGCATAGTTTAACTTCCTGCAGTATATTCATATTCTGTATTTTGAACTAGCAATGGTTTCTTTACATACCTTTTATTTTAAAAAATATATTGGGGCCAAATCTTCAGTCGCTAATGCTCAGTGCATTACAGGTGTGTTTACAGCCATCTTTCGGCTAACCTTCTCTTGAGGCCACGGGGGGCTGAAATAGCACTGGAATACATTAGCTGGAGTAGTCCTTACTGGGATGTAGGGGGACCCCGATGTACTTGCTGCACAGGCTTTATGCCCGTGAGGATTTTCCCACACTGAGAAAATCCTCAACATCCCTTTTATAGTTAGTTTAATGTTCCTTTGTACTGTTTCAACAGGGCAAAGGGACCTTAGAAGATGCCTAGTATCTGGTCATTAATGTATAATGTAAGCTATACTTAGTCATTTGACACAATAGCTCTGGTTTTCTGGATACTGTTATCACTAAATAATTCTTTTGTTGTTAATTTGTCTTGAAACATTCCTGTTGTATATGACTGTAATAATGGAGTGAATTTCATTTAGGTGTTGGACTCCTCCAGGAAGCCTTTGCTACAAGGTGTGATATAGTCTTATTTTAGTGCAATTTGTATTAATCTGCTCATTCGTTCTTTTCTTTTGCTTTCTTTTTTCAATTCTTTTTTGCATCTGCTTTCCTTCCATTTTTGGATATAATTCATTTAAAATATAAGGCAGATGAGAACTTCTGATTATATACTTTTAAAAAATATGAGAGTCATGAAGATTTCAGCCTTAATGTGGAATTTGAATAATCAGGCAAACTAATAACTGCATTAAAAATGAGTATTACTAAAGACTTTTTTGTTTTTGTTTTTCCCCAAAACAAATTGTACACATTTTCTTCCGGAACTTAGCTACCTTTTACTCAGGTAGGGTAATGGCGGCAGCAGCAGCCACTTTGCACTGCATTGCCACAGCAATAAAAACATGTCATGGAACTAACTGGAGGATGCCCTTCTGTTGTCTTTCCCCTAACAACCCCCATCCTTTGTCAAAATTAAAGTGTTCCGTTTTTTAAGAATTCCAATATATAAAATGTTCTCATTGAAGACCTATTACAAGAGTTATTCTGCTCTTTAGGCATCACCTTTTTCCTGAGAATATTGTTAGAACTTAGTCCAAATTCAGGGCACATGCAGGCTGAGAGCAAGTGGAAGCATGTTTCGTAAGAGTGGAGCGGCCGTGTGTACCTCACTACTACTCAGTACTCCAGATCTCCAGTATTTTGCAATTTCAACAACATTAGCCTTTATTTCTGGAACACTGAAGTCTTTGGCTAGGAGGTGCATCAAATGAGCACTGCAACCGTATGTTATTAGCTTGGGACTCTCTTCTAAATAATTTGTTCTCATCTTGGATACATTTGCAGCATTGTCTGTGATCAAGCTGCGTACTAGACATTTGATTTCCCCCCTCTCCCCCCCCCCCCCCCCCCCACCCAGTTTTACTGCTACTTCTTGTAAGTATTCTGCTGTGCATTTTCTGATGTATCAATTGTTTCTGTAAGGAAGACATTCCCTTCTTCTGTTGTCACACAAGCACATACAACAGGATCATTGTGGACACTGCTCCACCCATAAAGTCTTAGGTTAACAATTTCACCCTCTAGACCTTTTGCACACTGCTCAATTTCTTTTTCATACACTTTATCCAGCAGTTTGCCTGTGACATCTGCTCTGTTGGGTGGACTGTATCCTGGTCTTAATGACTGAACTATGTTAATGAAGTGTGGGTTCTCAATCATACGGAAAGGAGAGTTTGTTGCATAAACAAACTGGGCAATTTTTTCATCAATTGCCTCTCTTTGTAATCTGCTGGTTCTTATCGCAAACTTATCTGTGGTTGTTTCTGGATGATGGAGATTTTTTTTTCTTTTTGCTACAGGTGATATACTGTGGCTATGTGACGTACATGATGTGACTGAAACACTATCATTGGCAGATAACTCTGAAACTATAGAAAACGATGGTAATCTTGAAAGTGGATAGTTTTCAGAATCCTGTATGTTGAGGTTGGATTCTCCTAAACAAAATAAGTCAATGCAGTTATTTAATTATTATTCCCATACTGCTCATTTAGTATTATTCATTGCATTCACTGAAATTGTAAAACAAAGATCTGCCTATTTCAGCTATTTACTTTTTATCACAACGGCATCTAAAATGATAGTACCATAAAGTAACAACTATATTTTTTGCTCAAACATGAGAATTCAAGAATAGTCCAGAAGGAAGACAGGCAGTCCTTAAGAAAGAAGTATGAAATAAAAAAGTTTACTAACCTGAAGATCATGCATGTTCAGACATGTTCCTTTCATCATCTTCAATGCAGCTTCCTACTGAGAAGGAACACTTCTCATGATGTTGTTTCATTCAGGCAAAAAGGCCTTGCATTTCTTTGTTGCACTGTTTGCATGCATGCCTGTCTTACCCACAGGTAGAAGCACTTTATTAAAATATTCCCAAACTGGGTCTCTTTTATGGCCTGCTGCCATTATAGGTTTTTCCTTCTAGTGAGAGAATGGTATGGTAGATCTCAAATCAATGAAGGCTACACTCAGAAAGACCTCAAGACTTCTGGAATATGCTGCTCAAACAGTTTCACTTTTGTTTCTACTGCCTGACCCTCCCTTCTCACATTTATCTC